AGTCGCAATGAAATTCCAGAGTTTCTGTTTGTCTGGGAAGGTCCTTATTCTTTCTTCATAGAGGAAGGAAAGCTTTGTGGGCTAGAGTACTCTTGGTTGGCATTTGTTGACTATATCCCTTCACTCTCTCCTTGCCCATATTGTTTCTTCGGAGAAGTCTGATGTCAGCCTGATTGGTTTTCCTTTGTATGTTATCTATTTCTTCCCTCTTGCCATCTTCATTATTTTTTCCTTGTCTTGGATTCTTGGGAGCTTTACTATTATGTGTCTTGCTGTATTTTTCCTTTCATCATGGAAATTTAGTGTTCTTCTTGCCTTTTTTTTTTTAAGATTTATTTATTTATTTATACAAGCACTGGGTACAGTCAGAAGCGCAGGAGGGTGAGAGAATTCACCAGAGCCAGAGCAGGGAACAGAACAGGAAGACTGATGGTACACTGCTGAGGGGAGCAGCGGGTGGCAGGAGAGGTCTGCGCACCATGTGGGACCCTCGCCCGGCAGCTGGGGATCGAACCGGTGCTGCAGAGGCTGCGGGCAGCTTTGCAACCTTGCACTCAACCGCTGTGCCACAGGGGAGGCCCTCTTCTTGCTTCTTGTATGTCTATTTTCAGATCCTTCTTCATGTTTGGGAAGTTCTCTTCAATTATTTCCTTGAATATTTTGTCTGTTCCTATGTCTCTCTCCTCTCCTTCTGGGATTCCTATAACTCTTATATTTCCTTTCCTTATGGAGTCAGATAGTTCCTGAAGTCTTTCTTCATTCTTTTTCATTCATACTTCTCTTCCCTTTTCTATTTTGGTTCTTTTTATTTCTGTGTCTTCGAGAGTACTTATTTGTTCTTCCATTTCATCTATTCTGCTATCACTGCTTTTCCCAGAGTTCCTTAGCTCTTCCGTTAATCCTTTGATCTCCTGCATTTCTTTCACTTCGCTCTTTAAGGACTCAATTTCATTCTTCTGATCATTGATTATTTTTCCCTTATCATTGTTTTCCATAATGACTTCTGTCAGTTTTTTAATCATGGCAATTTTAAATTCTCTTTCTGGAAGGCTCAGAAGTTCTTCCAAGTCACTGTTGTTGCAATCTGGTGAGTGATTTTCTTTTTGTGGTGTGTCTTTTCCCTGAGGACTTGCTTTGTTGGTTGTAGTTTTTCTTCTCCCTGATGCTTGTTTTCTAATTTGTCCTATGCGTTGGGACACTATGTTACTGGTACTGGCTGGCATCTTTCTGGTGTGCACTTTCTGGGATGTTGGAAACTGGTCTCCAATCAAGTCAAATACTGTTATGCCAGAAGTCCAGTAGAGCAGTGGTACTATGAATATGTTAATGGTCGCTGTCACAGAATATCTCCTCCTTCTGTATTTGTTTAATTCCAAAGGTGTGTCTTGAAGTCCCACAGACTACCCTGGAGGTGGGGTGGCTGGATTACTCGCTGGGCTCCAAATCGCTGGATCCCCCTCTGGGCTCCAACTCCCTGCCAGGCAGGACTGGCTTGTGGGGGCTTTCAGCTTACCTCTGGCTGCAGGGGCAGCCCTCTCCCAGTTCCAAGCAGTCTTGGTTGAAGCAAAGGTCCCTATTCTAAAATGGCAAGTCGAAAGCGCACTTTACTGTGCCCGCAGCCTGCCCTGGCTGTGGCTGCCCGATTCCCCTCGGGGCTCCGACTGCTGGCCAGACAGGGTCTGGTGTGAGGGGGCTTCCCAGCTCACTTCTGGCTGTGGGGGCAGCCCTCTCCCAGTTTCAAGCAGTCTTTGTTGAAGCCAAGGTCCCTATTCTAAAATGGCAAGTTCGGAATGCACTTTCCTATGCCCACGGTCTGCCCTGGTGGAGGCTTCCCAATACCCCATTGGGATCCGACTCCAAATATATTTATCTTTAAGTAAGAATTTTAATATAATCTAGAGGTTTCTTTTGCCATTCAAAAATTATCCATTCATATAAATAAAAATATACAATCTTACTTGTTTTTATTTTGAATTTTTAGTTCAAAGTGAACATGAGCACACCTCGTATCTACTAGATGGTCTTAATTATCGGGGAGTTGTTCCTGATCTGCTCAGAACTTTATCTGCCATCAATCAACAATAGTGTCTCCATATTCTGAGGTCAGAGGTCAGATGTGGTTTGTATAGTGGAAACTTTTCAGCCATGGAGTAACCAGAAGTGAATTAAAATAATTCATTTTTACCATGGAAAATCTTTATACAGGCACCCAATTCTGCGTAGTGCTAAGGCAGATATTTGCACATCAGTAGGCTTGTTTTTAATTAAGAGTCATTTTAATAATCTGTTCTTTTCAGTAATGCACCTTTTAGTTATAAGTGGTAGCAGAGGAAGTAGAACTTTCCTTAAAAATTAATCAGACATAGTATATAAACTTCTCAAAACTCTCCAGGTGTCCAAAGCACTCAATAAACAAAAGCACCAAAGAAGAGATTTGCGAAGTGGCATGCAGACACGGTGATGTACCACAAAGAATATAGTTTTTAAGTTATGTAATCACCACAGCTTCCTTTCCTCCCACAATTCTTTTAGAAAAGCTTACAGAGGAAAATAATCTATATAAATAAATTCTAATTAGCAAACCTTAGTGAAAAGTGAGGCCACAGGAGACAGTGGTTAAAGCCATACCTGATGACGTCAGAGGAGGACTTGAATCCAGGAAGGGAGGGAGAGTTGGAGAGACACATTCTGGAGTAAGCAAGGTATTATCCTGTTTCAAGGATCAGGAAATGCAGGCTCCTTAAGGTATTTAACTTGCCTGCTGAGATTCAAATCCAGCTCTGCTGTCTTTGGAGCCCAGGGTCTTAAGCTTCCTGTGCTAACAACAGATATTTCCCAGGTGATGCTGCAGCTGCTGGTCAGTGGAGCAAACTTTGCAAACCCCTTGTGGTGCAAGGCAGCAGTTAACACTAATAGCCAATCACAGGACAGGGAGCAGGGACCTGTAAGCTGTTTTCCCAGAAAAGTTACAATACAGAGCAGTCAAGAATTCCAGGACAAGAGCAATGATGCTGTGCTGTCAAATACCAAACATGGAAAGGAATCGAAGGTGGAGATTGTAGTACAGAGTGCAGGATAAGGCAGCGATATCCATCTGGAAATCAACCGGTTACTAATCAGCTGGTTAGTAAGTGAAGAAAGCAAGTCCATCAGGGACATTCAGCTGAGCGCTGCTGTCTGAAAAAGGATCTGTGAATGCATTCTAGATTCCATTTGCTATAATGTGGGCAGCACAGAGTAGGGTAGCACACTGCCTTGGAGCCATACTGTGGGGTCTGCAGTCTGACTTTCCACTTATAGCTGGGGGCTCTCTGGTAAGTTAACACTCCAGGTTTCGGTTTCTTGTAAAGGGAGGAAATGTATAATTCTTAGTTGACAGGGTGCTGTAAAATTCAGTGAGGTAAGTCTGCACCCTTGAATAGTGTCTGCATGTATTAAGTGCCAGAAATGTGGGTAGAGTCGGAACTAGACCAAGAGACCCAGGAGAGGCCTCTCATCCCAGGCTGTGGATGAACGTGCTCTTCAGGGAGAGGGCGTGTCTCCAATGAGCTACACGTCCCTAGATGTTGCCAGCATCGTGACACATGAGAAAGGATTTTTATTTTAAAAATCTGATTTAAAATGTTCTTTTCTAACCTTAAGTGACCCCATACATTACAAAGAGGATGCTGAAACAGACATGTGCTATTTTTCACTTCATTCCCCTGCAATCCCAATGTCTTTTTTTTTTTTTTAAAGATTTATTTATTTATCTATACAAGCACTGGATACAGTCAGAAGCACAGGAAGGTGAGAGAATTCGCCAGAGCCAGAGTGGGGAGCAGAACAGGCAGAAGGAACCGAAGGACACTGCTGAGGGGAGCAGCGGGCGCGACAGGAGAGGTCTGCATGCATGTGGGACCCTCGCCGGTGGCTGGGGGTCGAACTGGTGCTGCAGAGGCTGCGTGCAGCCTCGCAGCCCAGCGCTCAACATCTGCGCCACCGGGGAGGCCTACCTGCTGTCGTGTCAGTTAGCTTAAGAGGGAGAATGGGGGGGGCTCCCCTGTGGCGCAAAGGGGTTAAGACACAACCTACGAAGCTAACTGTAGCCTCTGCAGCACAAGTTCAATCCCCAGCCAGGGAGCTACCCACATGGCGCAGCAAATCTCTCCTGACTTGCCCGATGTTCCCCTCAGCAGTGTATTTCAGTCAGGCTGCCTGTTTTGTTCCCTACTCTGTCTCTGGTGAATCCTCTCACACCCCACACCTCTGGCCTGTACCTCAGTTCTTGTATGCATAAATAAATAAATCTTTAAAAATAAAAGAGGGAGAACGAAAACAAAGACAGAATTTGAGCCCATCTAAGTTTCAGACTGAAACCTATATCACCTCCAAATTTATAAATTAAACCGTGAGAAGTTTTGCATAATATTTTTTTCAGTGAGTGAATGGGCCATACCAGATGCTCATCCACCCAGAGTATGTCCTTTTCAATGTTTTTACTTTGGAGGGATTTATGGAATAATAGAAATAGCAGGTTATCCCAGATCAAATATAGATCAGCTAAACTTGCTGGTGCTTAGACAACTGAAAACTATTGCTGGATGGCTACTGAGTAATCATATATATTCACAGGGAACACAGAATAGGGACAGAGAATAGAATGGAACAGGACAGAATAAATAATATGACATCACAGAATATCTGCCTGAGGCTAGAGGAAAATTAGAGAAGCATCCAAATGAACTGGGATAGGTTTCAAAACTGGTTATTACTCCTGAGGGTTGGTGGGTGTCTGAGCATAATCTGGGAGTTCCAGTGTATCGACTCTTTCTCAGGCATTTCCAGAACCTCGATGATCTGGTTGCCTGCCCTGAACAGAGCCTGAGCACCTTCCCAGACAGCTGGCCACTGTCTCGCTTGTCTCTTTCCTCTGTCTGTGCAGGCATCCCGCCCTTTGTAGCTCAAGAGGGAACACTGCAGTGCGTCCCAGGGCCCAGAGGTTGAACCAGGAGACATACCTTACTATTTAGCATCTGAAGCATCCTCTGCTCCAGGGTCTGGCCTGCCTTGGGCCTCATGAGGATGTAGATGACCTTCAGATCAGGGCTGGTGCGCAGAAGCTTCTCCATCAACACCTTGCCCATGAAACCGGTGGCCCCGGTGATGAGGATGGACTTGTTCGCATAGTATGCTGCAATCATCGACATGATTCTTCCCTTTGTTTTTTACAGTTCCAGAAAGAGGTTCCTGAAAAGCAAAAGCAAGAACAAAAGATGATGTGCTCAGAAGTTCTAAAATGCAGTCACTGAAAATGTCTCTGGTCCTCCCAGAAGTTTTCAGTGCAGACAAAGCCAGAGTGACGGCATCGCATTCCACTGGCAATACGATTCATTTCCATCAACATTCACTGAGGTCACTCCATGCGCCAGACTTGATGCCAGGAATGTGGGCAACAGCTGAGTGAGCCATAGTTCCCACTCTCTAGGAACTAGCAGAGGAGAAAGGCACAGAGATGGGTGTCACAGGTAAGCACTAAAACCCTGGGAGTGCAGAGAAGGAGTACAGTGCAGGACCTGGAACTTTTCAGAAGGCCCCGACAGGTGGTGACACCTGAGGTGAAATGGGAAGGCAGAGGTGAGGGCACCCCAGGCCAAAGTGCAGACAGGTACAAACAGGTACGAGGTTCCTCCTGGGGGAAATACAAGAGACCTGGTGTGGCAGAGATATAAACAGGATGGCCCCACACATGTGACAGCAACACCGAGAACAGCTCCCAAGTTTTACAAAAATCATGATGGAATTAGTGTTTCAGTTGTAGTTTCATTTAAAGAAAATATGGGAGTAAATAGCTTTTGGTTTCACTTGAACTAACAGGTCCTGACCTACCCTACTCTTTCCTAATAAGTGTTTTTCTCCTTCTGAGCTGAAAGTGGAGCCTGTGCCAGGGCACAGTGTTAAAACATTGCAAAGAAAAAGAGCAAAGAGGTTAAGTAAATAAGCCACGGGCCATGGGCTTGGGGCAGCCCTGAAAGGGCACCGGTGCCACAAAGAGCTCAGCCAGGCCCTGCTTCCAGGAAAGGAGTTATCCGTAGCCACTGCAGCATGAGTTCAATCCTAGCCAGGGAGCTACCCACATGGCGCAGCAGACCTTTCCAGTCTTGCCTGCTGCTCCCCTCAGCAGTGTATTCCAGCCGGTCTGCTTGTTCTGTTCCCCGCTCTGTCTCTGGTGAATTATCTCACCCCTGCACCTCTGACCTGTACCCCAGGTCTTATATGAATAAATAAATAATTTTTTTTTAAAAAAGGAGGAGGAAAACACAAGGGAAAGGGGCCAGCCCTGCCTCCACAAGCCTAAGCCAGGCCTCTGCCAGAAACTCTTCAGGAAACTGACTTTTCACAGACTTTTCACGGGTTCATTGTAAGCTGTGGTCACCATTTGTACTCGGAGGATCTTGAGGCTATATTCTTGGGCAGAACACTTTCTCTTTGGGGATTCCTTCATTCATAAATGTATTCAACAAATCATTTTGGGTACTTGCCATGCCAGACTCAATATGAAGTTCTGAAGATTTACAGAAGAAGAGAGCTGACAGATCCTTGCTGTCACTCTAGCAGGGGAGGCCAGCACTATAGAGGCAAATGGATATATAAACAGGAGCATTGCAGGCTGTGACACAAGTAATAAAACAGGATCAGCGAGGGGGAGTTGTCCATGCTATCCAGTTTTGGAAATCTGGATTTCAAATTACAGAGCTATATTTGTCGAGTGCTATTCAAACCCTTTTTACTGAGGGTGGATGTGGGAACCATTTGGAAAAACATACTTGGCCATTGTACACAACAGCAAATACTGATCATTTTTGTCATTTTATAGAATGTTACTCATATTATAACCTACCCAATCACTTTGTCAAGAGATCATTCCATTACTGCATGGAGAAAGTACTGAATATTCCTTTTTAAATAACAGAGCTCAGAAAAGTGGAATCACTAGGTTTGGAAGGCAGCATCCTAGTCATCACATGGGTTCTGGGCAAGACTGTCTGAAATCAAATCCCAGTTCCACTACTTACTAGCTGTGTGACCTCAGGCAAGTTATTAATCACTCTGTGCTGCCATCTGCTCATCAGTAAAAGAGGGGTAACAGATGTATGCCCTTAACAGTGCCGTGCTAAGAAGCATATGAGAGAATACATGCAAACCCCATGGACTATAAATTACAGATGGTGTATAACCAGCAAACATGGGCTGTTAGTTCAGCTACTGGGTCTACATTTTCTTCTTAATTTAAATGGTTTCTGGATTTTCCTTTTGACATTCATTTTAAATGTCAAATATTTCTGCCTTGGCATTTCATATATAATCTTTTGGAAAAGGGAGATAAACTGTAACTCAAGTATATGTTTTCCCACTTGGTGATATACTTTGCCACTTCTTTTACATTAAAAAAATGTCTTGGCATCCTTCTCTCTGAGCACAGGCAGGAGTGAGCACGGTTGGCAGGAAAATACAGTAGTGAGACTGAGTTTGGCTAGAGACACTCCCCAACCTCATTTGTCCTGAAGAGGTCAGATGCTTGTTTTGCCTGGTTACGTGCCTTCACTGAATCATATTTTCTAGAAGTATGAACAGTATACTTTAAGATACTGTGGCCCCAGACATAGTCTACAATGTGTAATGGCAAGTCCTAGAAAGCAGGTAAACAGCTGTCCAGCTGTCCATTCCCTGTGAGACCAAAGAAGGGGCCACAAGTCCCCAAAGGATGGAATTCACTTACTGCCTCTGCACAAACACTTCTCAACCCACAGAAAGCAGAGAAGAGCACACTGAGCTCTTCGAGGGGAAGTGAAACACAGAGCCTGGTCTCTGATGGCTGTGACTGTCACAACAGGTCCAGAGGTGGTGTGGCCATGACAGTGAGGGCAAGTATTTCAGAAAAGCATCAAAGAGAAGTCCTCATCTTCAGATGAGGATTTAAAGCTGCACCAGAGAGACTTTTACCTTTTCTTTCCACTCTCAAGATACGGCTTAGTTCTTGATCCCAGAAACTCTTATACAAAATTTGGCTGCTGGAAACCCAATTGCACATACCATAGCTTTGCAAGATCCAGGAGTTATTAACCCTTAATACAATTCATTAAAATAATTAAGGACTTAAACAATTGAAATGCATTCAGTCATGGAGGTTGTCTAGTGCGGGGAGGAGGAATATGTTCAAAACAGCTGACCAGGTACTGTTTGCCTTTCACACCACTCACGTAACCGACACAGAGAGCAAAGGATAATTTGCTACCTCTCATACTCATGACGGGCTTTGTGAGAAGCTAAGTCACTCTGACAATCTCCAGAATCATCCTATATAATGCAGAATATCTGAAGCTTGAATGAGAACAAGGAGGTACCATGAAGGCCGGTGTGTGTCTTTATATTGTCTATTATGTGCCAGCCACATCAAGCACTGGGACAAGCGGGGACAGACATAGTCACCTTGGATTATATCCCCTTTCTATTCTGGGTTGTCTTCTCCTGAACATCACCAGTTTCCCATGGTCCTGAGAAGAAAATTTTTACTCTCTTTTTTGATAGTGAAATGAGGTTGTTCTCATTTAAAAATCATGAATCATCACAGTTGTGCCAAGTGATACATTTTTTTGCTGGGTGCCACATATGGTAATATGGATTTTCTTTGGGGAGCTTTACTGGAAGATTCCAAGTTAGAATTCAAATATTTAAAGGAGCTAAGTTTTTCCAAATTTCTCGGCAGTCCTTTAGAAAGAAACACTTTGCAAAAGCAAACAACGTACTTTGCCTCTCCGAATTCAGTCCTGACCAATGTTTCTTGATCCTGGTGCTGCTTGATTCTGGGGGCAGACAACTCTGCATCGAGGGCAGTGCAGTCAGGCGTCCAGCAGCATTCCTGGCCTCGACTCAGAGGATCATCTGGTAACTACCCCCCAGACTTCCCTAAATATGCTCTGGTGGAAAACTGGCCCCTTTGGAGAACCACTGTGCTAGGACTGTCTTTAACTCTCATTTTATAATGTTCAGCACATCTACTAAGAATCAAAAATCGAGGCTTAAATTGCTGCTTGGGAAACTAGCCATGCCCTATTTTTCCTGTCAAACCTTTCCTAATTACATGTCCCCAAACAAATTACATTGACAGTATTCAAAAAGAGGATGAAAGAAGATTTATCCAGAGTGAGATTTCTGACTTTTTATTTTACCAAATTTCTTTTAGTCTCTGTGCTATAAGTCTACTAGCCCTTGCCTCTCCCAGAGATCAAGCCTGTTGGTTTTATCCTCCTACACCTATCACAGGCAAAGTAAAAAGAATGGCAATCGGACCATCAAGAGATCAGCTGAGGAAAAAAAGTTAAGTATTTGTTGCTATATATTAATCATTCTATGTATAATCAGTTCAAACTCATTTATAGCTTATTCTGCTGCCTCTTTTGAAGAAACCATGCATACTTGGTGTTAAGAGGTATCTCACATAGACAAGCGGGGTATTAGCTGATGATGGGCCAATCTATAAAAAAAAAAAAAATCAATGCTTTCTTGTAAAACTCAGTAAGGAAAAGTTCTGCTTCATGAAAACGAAACACAGATATTCTTCAGGAAGTATTTTAAGAAAATAAGAAACTGCTTTAAGAAAAATGAATTAAGAAAATGCCTTTACAAAATAATGTTCAGTGAACAAAAGAACACCAACTTGTAAAACATCATAATGCCCTTGACTGGTTCTTGTGGAAGACTGAAGAGGAATGAAGTGTATGATACAGTTGTATAGCAGCATAATGGGGCTAAAAGGAGAGTTTTGCTTCATTTCATAATTTCGTTCTATGATTTGAAAAGACAACTTAGTAATATGTACTTCAAACGAAGAAGTTCTTAGAAAGTAATGTCAGCTATTTTTAATCTTTTCTTTTGCCATGGGCACTAGTAGAGAAATGTGTGGAACAAACTCCCTTGGGTGCATTTAAATTACTTTGAAAAGTGTGGCCCAGCTGTTATCACGCACTGCTGTGGACTTAATTTTTTTACTTTTTCTTTTACATGCATTCATTTTATTCTATTCACATTGTACAATTATCACACACATTACAAAAAGGATGCAAGTCTAATCCATCTTCCAATGCCAGGTCAGAACTAAATGGTAAAAAAATAAATCACTATTATAAGAAGAGTTAGTACGTCCTGTCCTAACCTCTGGTGGGATAGGACATTGGGATCTGGCCTTTGGG